CAGGCAATCCACTCACCTCAGCCTCCTAAAGCACGGGATTACAGGCTGAGCCACCAAGCCGGCTAACAATTGCACTTTCTAGGCAAGGTGAAATGCACGAACAAAAATCGTCCTTTGCATCAACCATCCTCACTTAACCATTTGTGGGATAGGGGAGGGTTCACGCAGTGCAGAGTTTGCTGGCACCTGCTTGACAGGTGAGAAAACTTGATGTGCAGATTTTAGGGATCTGGCAAAGGGTGCACAGCTAGTAACTGCTGGAGCAGGGATTTGAACCCAGGACCGTCTGGCTGGGAGCCTGAGCTCAGTCTCCACTGGGCACCACTTCCTTTCATTTTACAGGGTGTCCTGAGGTCTTAGTGCCATTTTAAGCTTGAATCGCTTCTGAAGTGTAAATACTTCAGACTTACAAAACACACTTGAAAGTTTAACTAAAAAAAAATTTTTTTTGCACTTACTCAGCTTTGTGATTTTTGAATAATACATTTTTAATTGTCATCTTTGGTTTCAGTCAATATTTTCCATCTTCTTGGACAGAGACCAAGCATTAAAAAGAAAAATGTATCACTCAAAAATCACAACACTAAACATGCATAAAAATGAACTAAACTTTAAAATGGTGTTTTTGCAAGTTTATAGGATCTGTACTTCTGAAGTTATTCGAACTTAAAACGACAAAACCTCTGGGGACTGCCTGTATATTCAAGGATGGCCATATCCAAGGCCAGGGACTGAGGCGGAGAGGGCGGCTGGCAGGAGCTATTGTCAGGGAGTGCCCAGTGCCAGGGGTCTAGGGACAAGGTGGGGGTGACCACGAATACAGGCATTTAACTCCATTCTTGCCAGTGGCTTTGCCCAGCACCAAAACCCACAGCTTCCTGGGCAAGCAGCATGGCTAAAAATGGTTCTTGGCTAAAAATAGCCAGTCCTGCCACCCCGGTGGGCAGAGCCTCCCCTAGCTCCCTCCTTCCTCTCAGCAATTTGCTAACTTGTTTCCCCCCTCCCCACTGCCATGGAAACGGGGAGGCCCGTCACAAATAACCGGGTCTGGCTTTCTGCCGGGCAGCCCCAGAGGCTGTCCCTTGCAGACACATGCCCCTTTCACAGGCTCCCTCTCAGGGTTGGCCGGGAGGAATTTTTTCTCCGCTCTGCCTGCTGGTCCCTCCCATTTCCTGGCTCCTCCTGTCTGAGTCCCAGTCCCGGCCTGTGCCTGGGAGTCCAGTCATCCGGCCAGGATTCCAGCGAGCAAGCCAGTGAGCCAGCGCGCGCGCGGCTGCAGCCTACACAGTTGCCGCTTGCTGCCCGGGACGTGGGGTGGGGGCAGGTGCCTGAGGGCTGCTCCCTGCAGACCGTTCTGTGGCCCCAAGGTGGGGGCCCTACGGAGATGCTCCGAGGCATGTACCTCACTCGCAACGGGAACCTCCAGAGGCGGCACACGATGAAAGAGTAGGTGCCCTCACCCCGGCCCACACCCTCCTCCACCCTGAATCGGCAGGGGCCGAGGTGCCAGGCTAACCAACACCCTTTTCTGCTTCTGCCTCCAGGGCCAAGGACATGAAGAACAAGCTGGGCCTCTTCAGACGGCGGAACGAGTCCCCCGGGGCCCCTCCAGCGGGCAAGGCGGACAAAATGATGAAGTCCTTTAAGTAGGTCCTCCCTGGCACCCCGGGACCCTTGAGACACTCACTGGTGGGGTTAGAGGGCAGGGGCTCGTCAGCTCTGGGGGGATAGAGGCTCTTGTAGAGGGGGCCTGCGACCCGGCAAGCAGCAACCCTCACAAGGAGCAGCTGCCCTGGGGAGGAAGGCCAGGCAGGGGGAGACGTGGAGGCTAGAAGTGGTCCTGGCCCCCAGAAGGGGACTGGGCCTCTCTCCTGAGCTCTCCAGCTGGGCTTGGCTGCAGCCTGCGCCTAGGGCAACTAACAAAGGCTGCTGGACCCAGCCTCCCCACAGGTCCCCGAGCTTGGCCCTCACCACGTTCCCTCCCTCACCCCTTAGGCCCACCTCGGAGGAAGCCCTCAAGTGGGGCGAGTCCTTGGAGAAGCTGCTGCTTCACAAATGTAAGTGGGGGCCAGCCAGCCTATTTCCCTCCCCATTTCTCTCTCTCCCTTTCTCCTTTCCTCCTCATTCCCGCCCTGTGCATCTGGTCCTGGAGAGGCTGCCTTCCCTCTCTCCTGGCCCAGTCCGGTGTCCTTGCTGTCAGGGAGAGGCTGGGCCGAGGCCCTTGGCCTGGCCTTGGAGCCGGCTTCTGCCAGCCCCTCCCTGTCCATGGGAGCTGGCACTGGCTGCTGGAGGCCCTTGGGACCTGTGTGCTCAGGCCCATATTCCCAGAATAACAATAAACATTTCTACGTACTGAAGGCTTACACTGGGCCAAGTGTGCCTGCCATCTCGTGGGCAGGACCCCCTTGGACCCTCCCAGGGCTCCCAGAGACATGATTGATGATCCCCATTCTACAGATGAGGATACCGAGGCATAGATAGGGGAGACAGTTGGACAAGGCCCATAAAGAGGGACCTTATCCCAGGGCTCCTGGCTCTTGGGGACAGGTAATGTTACTAAGCCCCCAGCATGTCCATCTCCAAGGCCCCGGGAGGGTAACCTGGGGGTCTTAAAGGTGGGCAGTGCTGACTCTGCCTTACTCCAAGATCTGGGCTTCTCTTGACAGATGGATTAGCTGTGTTCCAGGCCTTCCTTCGCACTGAGTTTAGTGAGGAGAACTTGGAATTCTGGCTGGCTTGTGAGGACTTCAAGAAGGTCAAGTCACAGTCCAAGATGGCAGCCAAAGCCAAGAAGATCTTTGCTGAATACATTGCAATCCAGGCGTGCAAGGAGGTAGGGCCCCAACCCCCTCTGCCCAGTGGCCCTTCAGCCGCAAGGCATTCACCAACAGCCCAGAAGGGGAAAGGCCAGAGTGATTTGGAGACACCTTGTGCACAGGTTGGGGTTCTTAAGAAGCAAGCTAGGGCCAGAATCCTTGGTTAATAATAAAAATGGCCACCCCAGGCACTACTGTGTGCTGGGTGCATGCTCAGCCCTTTATGTATGTGCTCCCATGTTTAGTCCTCTCTGACAACCTGTGAAATAAGGTTTCATGTTATCTTCATTTTAAAAACGAGGAGACCATATTCAGAGCCTAGTCACAGTGGTTACCTACTGAGTGCCTACTCTGTGCCAGGCTCCATGTGCAAAGTGCTTTAAATGCATGATCTTGGTTCACTTTCACAACGCTTTGAGGAATGCGCTGTTATTTCTAACTGCGTATAAGACAACTGAGGCTCAGTGGACTTAGTTGGTTTACTTAAAGTCACACCCCCCAGGTGTGGTGCTGCTGGGATTTGAACTCAGGAAGCCCTAGGGGGTGGTGTTTTCAGACCTTACAAACTCTGCCACCCTCAGGGTAAGTTTTTGAGCCAGAACTTGAACCCTCTGACTGCCATGTGGTCTGAGGGTGCCATGCTTTCTGGTACGCTTGTGGGGTGCCCCATGCAGAGGGTGCCAGATTTCTGCAGGGCCTCCACTTTGGGTGAACCTTAAGATGTGGGGCAGAGGGACCCTGGAGGAGAGATGCTGGCTCAGTCCTGTCTCTCATCTGGACCCTAGGGTCAGCCCCCTCCAGGCATCCCTGACCATGTCACCCTCTGCCTCCGCAGGTCAACCTGGACTCGTACACACGGGAACACACCAAGGACAACCTGCAGAGTGTCACGCGGGGCTGCTTTGACCTGGCACAGAAGCGCATCTTTGGGCTCATGGAAAAGGACTCATACCCTCGCTTTCTCCGCTCTGACCTCTACCTGGACCTTATTAACCAGAAGAAGATGAGTCCCCCGCTTTAGAGGCCACGGGAGCAGAGCTCAGCGTTCATGCCAGGCAGGCTGGGCCCCCTGCCCACCTGCCTCTCTCCCCCTGCGACGGAGGGGGCAAGCAAGCCCCCAGAGGCCGTGTCTCCGGACAGATGGACATTTGGATGCGAGGCCTGGACCAAGAGTTCCAGGCCGCTGGAGGAGCAGAAGGACTGGCCCGCTGGGTCCCCCTGCCCTGGTACGAGGGGGCCCAAGGGCCTCGGCAGGTCAGGGACTCTGGCTGAGCCAGATCTGAAGCTGCTCTGCACGCCACAGAGACTTCGGAGACTTTGTGTTGACCAAGTTCCTTAAAGAACTGGTTGATGGGGCAGGGGGCCCAGGTCGGGGCCCTGGGGCCCTCCTAGAGGGGCCTTTGGGGCTCTCAGCTCTGACCCCCGCCTTGAGTTTTATTTATTTAAACAGTAGTGGGATGCTTGGCACGTCGTCCTGTAATAGGAAACCCTTGCCTCGTCAGTTTTCCTAATTTACAAGTGCAATATTTTAACCAATGCCTTGTGAAAAGCCGCCTTGCAGAGGTGGGCACCGTTTTCCAGTTTCAGGGGATCTGCTGGTCCCAGAGGTAGGCAGCTGGGCCTTCTGGACTGATAAGGCCCAAAGGGACACTGCAGTCTGACCCTGCACAGAAACCCAGCATCCCCTGGGTGGGAGTATCCCTCGGGGCCCCGGGTCAGCATGGCGCCCTCAGACCACACAGTAGCCAAGCTCGGGAGCAAATAAAAGGCCTGTGTTTCTTCTTGTTCTTGAAACTTTCTGTGATTTTCTGGTCTTGGGCCTCCCCAGGATAGCTGGGCTGGGGGTGTCGGGCTGTTGATCCAGCAGCTTCTCCTCTCTTGCCATCACCTGTTCCCATCCTGGAGCCAGACACACCGATACAGTGGTGACAGCCGCCCTCTCACTGCTTCCTCTGTGCCGGGCCCCACGCCACACCCACTCTAGTGGTCATCATGTCTCCTTCTGAGACCGGGGAGGTAGGACTTATCCGTATCTTTCAGATGAGGAGAATGAGGCATAGACAGGTAAGGAGACTTAGACAGATTCAGCCTAAGCTTGACTGGCTGCAGGGTGGAGTCCCCACTGGTCACAGCTGGCTATGGGTCCCTCAGCAAATTCCTTCACTTCTCTGCCCTGTGACACCCTGAGATGCTGGCGGAATTTTCACATGGTACAGGGATGGCTAGTGGAGGTGGATGGGGCCAGAGTCGCAGGCAGGGTGGCAGCAGGCTCACAGAGGCCTCTGGACAGAAGGGAGAACCAGGGATGTGACAGGGGATTGGATTCACAGATCCCTCCGTGACCCTGGGCAAGGCTTTCCCCTTTGTGCCTTTGTTTCCCCTTCTGCCTAACAGGACGCGCAAATTTAGGAAAGGCCTAGTCCAAAGATAGACTTCAGGGAGGACCTGGACCACTTGCCTAGAAGTGAGTGGAAGAGAACCCAGGCCAAGCCAATGTCTGGCCCCTGGTGGCCCCTGGTGCCCACACACAACAAACTCCCAGGGGTGGGGGCCAGGGCCAGGCTGGGACTGGGATGTGGCCTAGGGTGAGGTCGGGCTCAGCTGGGCTGGCTTAGGCACACTGGATGCCTTTGATGCGAGAGGAAGTAGACCCAACCCCATCTCCTTGGATGCCTGGCATCCTGGGTTCAGACCTGCCCACTGGGGACTTGGAGGTATAGAGGACACAGGGTTATGCAGCCATCCTCTTCCCTGCCTCTGGTTGCTGGTCTCCCTGGGCAAGGCCACCCCTGTCTTCCCACCTGCATAATGAGAGGATCAGAATTAGTGGTCTCTGGAGACCTGTAGGGAGTTTTGGGGCTGAGCCCTCCTTGGGGTTACAGGAAGCTCAGGCCAGGGCCTGGGTGTGGAGCGAGTCCTATTCTTGCTCTCCTTGCGGGCCCTGAGCTCACGCAGGGGGGAGAAGAAGTGGTCTGACCACCCCTCTGCGCCTGACTTTTCCTGCCCTGCTGCAAATGGGACGCTCACTCCCGCTCAGCTAAAGTCCATTTTGGAAGAACTTTCTGATGCCAACGGCAGTCTGCATCAGTAGATAACCTTCTTTTCTCTGTTCCCAGGCAGCCATGCCCCCTTCTTGGTTAGCTCTGACCACGCAGCATCAGAGGCAGGTGTGGGCTTATCTGTATCCAAAGGCTGCCAGGTGTTGGAATCAGACAGTGTAGCTTTGAGTCTTGCTTTTGCTACTGACTTGTTCTGGCAGTCACTGCCCATCTCTGAACCTGCAAAACTGGGGATGATACTATCATCTCAGTGCTGGGAATGAAAAGCCAATCTGTAGAAGGGACCTAACCTAGCCAGACATCCAATAGGTGCTCCATACATGTTGACAGCCATTTCCCCTAGCCCCAGAGGGTGAGCTCCTCCAGCAGTGGTGCTGGGTCTCCTTCCACCAGGCTTCAGGGGCCCAGCCCGGGAGTTGGCCCACAAGCCCCATTGGACTTTGTAAACCATGAAGGACTCACTGAGGCTGGAAGGGCTGAACAAGGGCACTTCCCAGGTTTTTCCAGGCTTGAGGTCTGGGGACCTGAGAGCTGGGAAAACCGGGGCCCATTTTGTCCCCCTAAAATGGTCAGAGCCCAGGACTCCCCAGCCTGACCCACCCTCTCTGTGACATCTTCCCCTTGGAGGGGCCACTGGGTCTCCGAAGAGACCCATCTTCCCTCTTTAGTTGTAAGGATTCCTTCTTGAGCCAAGCCCTCCATCTTTCAGCCCCCAGGTTTCCATGGAAACCAAAGTCCAGGAGAACAAAGTCAGGCAGCTGGAATTCCCATTTAGGAAGGCCCCACTGCCCGGTTTCCATGACTCACACCCTGGTTTCCTTGGCCTCGGAGCAGCTTTGGTTGTGCAGAGCAGCTGGAGAGCAGACCGGAAAGGTGCCTGGGTCCCCCTGCCCGGGGCTCCACCTGGGCTCCCTGGAGGACCTTGGATATGCCCTCTCATACAGTGTTGTTCCGGCTGGTTCCCATCTTACTTCAACTGAGAGGAAGGAGAAGTTTCCTAGGTCTCTGACACTTCCAGCTGGTCAGCGTGGGATCTCAGAGCTAAGAGATCATTGCATCCAGCTCCCTTCCCATCCCACAGATGGAAAGACTGAGGGGAAGGGAAGGGAAGCAGCACTGTGTACAGGTGAAGGGCCTTGGAACCAGGCTCTAGAGTTCAGTCCCTGGCTCCACTACTTACTTGTAGCTGCACATCTTTGAAGACGTCGTGTAAATCCTCTAGAAATCGTGCATATCGGCACCTACCCCGGAGCTACAATGACAAAGTGATACCGTGCATGTGGCAAGTTTAGTTCAGCGCCTGGCATGGGGTGTGTGCTCCTTAAACGTGAGCTGCTGTTAGTGTTCCCATGATTCAGGGTCACGGGGAGAGTGGCAAAGCTCGTCCTCTAGTTGCGCAGGCCAGGGCTCTGACCCTGACCAGAGCAGATGGGGAGCCCTTCGTCTCAGACCTCAGATCCTTGTCCTTCCAGGAATGGTTTTGCTGGAGGACAAAGCCAGCCTGTTCCAGGGAGCAAGCCAGAAACAGCCTGTCCCCGTACTGCTGCCCAGTCTTGGCCCAGCTGGGAGCAGTTGGGGTCAGTTGGCAAATAGTGTGCAGATGGGTGGAGAGGGAAGAGGGCATGGCAGTGCCACTCCACTGGAGGCCACTGAGAGGGGATTCATCGTCACCTGTGCCAACTGCAGCTGGACTTCTGGTGAGTCACGGTCTCAGACTCTGCCGTGTAAGTGCCACACTTTCTGGGCCTGGCTTGGCTAGCTGTGGCCTCCGAGACACTCCAGCCTGGAAGGGACCATCTAGTCCAAACTGCTGACCAGCACTTGGGTCCCCTCTTGGGTTTTGGCTTGCATCTCTCCCACGACAGGGAGCTCATGATCACCTCAGGCAGCTCAGTAGGGCCTGGGAGCCCCTTGGGGTCTCTGTTCATCCAAAGCTGGGGTCCTGGGGTGGGGGAGGGGCGGGTCATCATCAGTAGTCCCTGCAAGTTTCTGGCCTTAGAGGAGACTCGCCAGGTGCTCCAGTTTCACTCCTCCCGGCTCGCTCCCCTCACCTACCCCAAGCTCCTTGGGGATCTACATCCCCACCCTCCTGCCTTTGCATCCCTGGGTCCTTTGTCTACTGTCCCAGGCATCCTCCCTGCCAAGCCTCAGGTTCCTGGTGACTCCCTGCTCCTGGCAGCCTCCTTCCCGAGCTCTCAGGCCCTGGATCAACAGGCCCTGAGTCTCAGAGAAGCCATTTGTTTGCTGTGGTCTTGCTAACCATTGGCAACATCTGTGAAACATCTGGGCAGGAGGGAGGGAAGGGGATTCTTGGGGCCCCTTGCCACTGTGGTGCCCCTTCCTTGGGTGGGAGGAGGCAGGGGGGATGGAGGAACTGCTGTGGGGCTGATCCCATCTGCTGGGTACAGATGGGGTGAGGGCGGGGCCAGGGTGGGGGAGGGCAGTGCCTGGTTGCAGATAAAACTCCTGGCTAGGACCACACAGAGCACACGCCCAGCACATCCCACGCCTCATCTCATCCCACGCCTCGTCTCCGTCAGCCCTCGCGATGGCCCTGGGAGGGAGGTCCGAGTATTATTTTAAGTTTACAAACGAGAACATTGATGTTCAGAGAAAGCGGAAGGGTGTCATGGCTGAGCAGGCACGGGCACTTTATCCCTCACGTCCAGCAGCCTCCGCCAGACCGTTCTGAAACACCTCCAGCCAGTCTAGGAGGTTTAGTGGCTTGGTTGGCGGAGCCGAAGGGAGCTTTGGATGCAGCTTCTCCTTGGCTTGGGTAGAAATTTCTAAGGAAGGCCAAGGCCTAGGCGAGCGTATGAGTGTGGAGACATCCGGTCCTAAGTCGAATCTCAGTTCTCAGTGGAGCTGTGTGACAAGTTGTCTCACCTCTCCCAGCCTCAGTCATCTCAGCTGTAAAATAGAAATAATGATTCCACTTCTGGGACTCCCGTGAGATCATGAACAGGTGTGAATCCCCAGCATGGGGCCAGGTACAGAGGGAGCGCACCAGTGGGGCAGAGGAAACCACCCCGCCACAACTGCCCCAAGGCCAGTGACCGAATGACAGGGCAGGGTCCCATGAGGGTGGAGGTGAGGGGGGAGGTGCGCAGCAGGGTCCCACCTACCTGCTCTTTCTAGGGCAATGAATAGCACCTGCCCCATGGTGAAGGGGTCCAGCCCCTTGCCGGGTCGTGAGATTTCCTGAAGGAGAGACGGATAGGCGAAGGATGAAAATCTTATACTCGGACACCTGCTTCCTGAACAGATAACAATTTAATGTTGGTTAACACAGCTTTTATACCATTTGTAAAGGGGCAAGACAAAGAAAATTCCTTCATGTACATATGCTTTAAAAGTTACCACCATCTAGCGGTCTTTAGAAGAAACGAATAAGCCAAAAACATTATCTACTTTCAGTTAATGAGTCTTTATCATAAAGCCAAAAATGATAGTTTTAGTTCAAAGTCCCGAATTACAGTCCTTGAAATGTTTCAAGAAAGTTTCCAGGTGCAAAGTTCTTCATGTAGCAGTTTTTCTCTTTTGGGCTTTTAGGACCTTCAAAGTTTTGTAATTGCCTTTCTTGTCCAGGTGTCTTCGTTACTTTTCTCTTATCCTGCAGTGTTTATTTCTAAAGAAAACTCAAAAGAAGCTTTTAATGACATTTCCCAGGCCCCCAAGGTTGCTTTCTGTATTTAGTTAATTATCATAAAAGTGTCTAATTAGGCCGGGCTCGGTGGC